TCATATACAAAAAGGTATCGGTTATTATAAAAAAAAAATAATAACAAATGGCCCATTAAGCAAGTAAAATTATTATAAATATTTTATTGTTATTATTTTCAAATTAATATTCCTATTAAAGCGTCGTTGAATTAATTACTGTCCAAAATATCCAACAACTATTTCAGCACTTAAGTAAACGTACAACGAATTAAATATATTCCATACGTTAAAAATCGATAAAGAAATTAATTAAGCATTTTTTTAAAATTGATAATACAATACCCTATCAGCTACCCCAAATGGCAAATATTTGTTCATACTACAACCACTATGCAGTTCGTTTTTTGCATTTTAAATTACATAACTGTACTCAACTAGTCGGTCAAACTCGTTTGACACCGCTGAAAACTTAGAATATTTGACCTTTCCACGTATTCTCGTTTATCAAAATTAAATGTTATTTTAAACTTTAGGTGCCATTAAGTCTAACAGTTCCGGTCCTACAAATTACGGGACTCTAGGCCGTATCAAATCTAATTACTTTTAGATTTTATTACTACTTTTAAACCTTCTAAACAAATGTTTACAAATACAATTATTTTTATAGTTTTTATACTTGTGTTTTCGATAATTTTTTTTATTAAATATGTTAATTACACAATTATTAATTTTACAAATATTTGTTTGCTTTTGTAATTTCTACAACTTTATAAAATTATGAAACATAAATGGTAACATACAAGTTGCCCCACGAAAATTTGATTTTTGTAAAATCTCCCAAGGATATTGAAATTTTAAAATTCTGTTTTTGTAAATAATTAACTCTAAAAGCATACTAGTCGATATTATGTATCATGTATAATTTTTTATATTGAAAAGCACCTTCCCATAAATAAGAGTTAAATTTTAAAACTAATACCGAATGTCAAATTTGAACTTGGTAGACTAAAATTCAAATTTAGGAAATAATAATTTGGATTTGAAATTTTTTGAAAATACCTATAGAATTTGATAGACTTTCAAAATATGAAAACAGAAAAAATAAGTATAGGTTGGTACTACTCTATGTACATCATGGCTGTAGACACAATATATTATGATCAAAATAATTTTAATAACAAAACGTTAAAAATAATATTCCAAAGTTCTTATTAGGTAATCACTATTACACACCAGCCTAAATAGTTCATTATTTGAATAATTGAACACAATAACACTCCAAGTAGAAATTTTTCATTAATTACATTTTATATCTCACAGGTACACACAAAAAAACAGGCATCCAATTAATTTCTAAATGGGGCTCAAATATTTTAACCTTAATTTATTGTACGAGTCATCTTATTACATTTTATTATTGTCTACGATAAAAGACATTGTATGAAATACAAAATCTTAAGCACACCATCTTTAAGTATTTATGTTACACTACACCTATAGCAAGGTTTTAATTATTTGTTTTGTAGGTGTATAACCTTAACGGACAATAAAGCTGATAGGGGTAAGGGGTGGTTATAGGTCAATAGTTATTATGTATTATAACAAAAAAATCATATCGATTACAAAAAAAAGAACATGGTAATCACACTATAGATTTACTTCCAGTCTAATTTTTAAACTTGAATACAAAAAAGTGCGCTTACAAAAAACATGGAGAGGGATCAGACCTTGATATTTTTTTTTAAAGAGGGACACTTCCTTAAGTATTTATTAGTCTCTAATTTTTATGTTTCTCAATGCTAATTTATTGGTATTTTTAGATAGCAGGAGATAAATTGTAAATTATAAGAAATATCTTATAAAAAAAAGTCCAATACTTCAAATAATGTTTTATACATTAAAAATTGTATCCTTACAGCTAAACGAAGAAATTGACATACAAATAAATTGACATAATCTAAACATATTACAATTTATTTTATTTCAATTGCATATCGCCTAGTCAGGTCCGCCCCTAAATACATTTTGGTGAAATATTATTTTGATATGACTTTATTAGTTTACAACTTGATAAATAAAAAAAAACTTTCTTTTTTTATAACTTTTAATTAATACCAATATCTTAAAAATAGAACTTTAACTATGCCGTAGCGTTTTTTGGTGACTTATACACAATACAAATTCTTGAAAACAAAATTTGAATTTTTCATAATATTTGAAATTGCCGCAATCGATGCATTGAAAATGTTATGAAGAATACATATGTTTTTTTAAAACATAAATAGAAGTATTCATAGGAATAGTACGATTGTAGTAGAATGAGTTGTTTTCGACTATGAATATGTACGCAAGTGTAAGGGCCTCTTAAAGCGAAATTAGTATAGAATTTTTTTTTTCAGATTTCTAGACGCGCTAGGGCAAAATGGCAAAACACATGTTATGACTCTTATAAACATATTTTTAATAAGTTAGCTAATAATAATTTTAAAAAGCAGCTCAAAACGTTTATGGCTGAGCAATATGAAAGTTATTTAAACTCGCTTAACCCTATGAATATCTCTCTGTGGAAAGACATAAAACGTCTAGCCTAGATCAGAGAATTAATTCCTCCTCTCCGTAAAGAAGATGGTTCACTAGCTATATCAGATGATGAAAAGGCAGTGATTTTTACTGAACATCTAGCCAAAACATTTAAACCACACCATTACATTATACCTGATTCAAGTTACATTCATATAGTCGATACAATTTCTTGCATCTCCCCTACAAATGCCAATGACGATACAGCCATGAGCCATATTATCAACCCACAACAATGTCAAAGATACAGCCCATCACCTCCAAGCGCATGTTAACCGTATAGAGTCGTGGTTCAGAATTGGAAGAAAAAAATAAGCAAAAATTACACCTTAACTTCTACTGAGGTGATACCAATGGGTGGCTTCCTCGTATGTTAATTATTCAAGCTACATACAATATACATATCATCGAAAAAAAACTTATTGTAAATATTGTAGAGATTGTTTTGTAAGTATAGAGAAAAAAAAAAAGGTCTATAACACTACAATTTAGATTGCGTGTTGATAATATTGAAGAGGTATGATTATTTTATTTAATATGAACAAATTAGAATTTGTCAAGTCCTAGTACTTTTTTAACATACATTTATGATTTAAATTGCGTTTAGCAGTTTTAAAATTTTTCATACGGTTATTAGTGAAAATCATCTTACAAAATATTACATGTTTTACTAAACATTTTAAGAAATTAGAATGTAATCAAAATAGTTTTTGCAAAAATATAAATTAGAATTTCAAAAAGGTTAAGCTACATAACAATTTATAAGAGAATGTTTTAGAAAATATTGTGGGACAGTTAATTATTTATTTTCTTGTGATAAGGTTGATAAAATTACTTTAACGCTTTTGTGTGGATTTGTAGATAATAGAAAATAGAAACACAAATACTGATAAAAGTATTGTAATGCCAATAATGTAGTTTATCAGAATAATGTAGTCTGTCAGATTTTAGTTAGAAAATTGTATATGTTATAGCTCCACAATATTATATATTATCCAATTAAAACTTGAAAACCACTAACAACGTAGATAAACAACCTGTTTTCAGTTAACAGACTGTTAAACACTGACGCATTACGTATTTACCATTCAGCTGACACATCCTCATTACCGATAATTGAATAAACTATAAAATATACATACAATAGTAAGCCTATATTTTATATTAGTAACATAATTATCACAACACCTGTTATATAGAACCATAGAGTCTTCCGCCAACATTTGATTATTGAGTTATGACTATCGGTCTCTTACAACTTACATAAGTATAATTTGTGTTAATTCGATTTAAAAACAATTTTTTTCAACTATTAATCAAAAACTGATGAAAAAAATGTCGGCTAAAAAAATTGTTGATCAAATTTTTTCGGAAGATTTATTTTTTGCTAAAATACTGTCTTCTGAAGAAGTACACTTCGGCTAGTTTATGTGCCTGATCAAATATTGTTCAGTGAAAAAACTGTTCTACCGATTTATTTTCGACTCAAATATTTGTCGGCTATAACACTGTCTTGTTAATTTATAGTTCGGTAGAAATACAGTTCTGCCGGTTTATTTACGCGCCCCCGAAAGAGTAAAAAATATGTTTATCTTCATCTTAAGAATATTCCATACACTTTTGGAACTATTTTTTGTTATTATTTAAAATTATAGCGCACTTATATTTTAGGTTAATTATGAGTATACATTATTTGTGTGGTTGTCTCGAATTTGATGAGGGGAGAGGGGGGGGGGTTAACATTATTAATTTTGACCTATTAAAGGACCTTGCATGTAAAATAAGTGATGTATAGACTTGCTACTTGAAGAAATCGGTTCAGCGGCTTAAGAGATATCGGGGGTTTAGACACAAGACCCAACAAAAAATACCATGGTAAAAACAATATCTTATCAGCTCCGTATCGATGATAAAATTAAGTATAGTAAGTACAGTAATGAGTATAATATATTGTTACAGTATATACTCAATGTCTCAATGGTACAACGATACTAAAATTATGGGTAAATGTATACTTAAATGTTAAGCCAAACTAAAACAGATGAGAAAAACATGAAACCTATAAAAGTATGATATTTTGTAGGTACATAGTATTTACATAACAAAACGTCTTGGCAATAGAACGGAGGCGTGGATCCGTGGGCGGCTTCGTTCTCTGCTGTTTACTTATACAATAAAAAAAAAATGGGGTAGCAACCCCCTCCCGTAGTTCAGCGAATTTTTAATAACCTAGCTTAAGAATATAATATTATCTTTATTTTATAAGCAAGAATAAATTACCGAATTTTCTGAAAACAACGTAAGTAGGTGTTGATGTAAATTGGAACAACTGTTTTATCACCGAAATGCTTGATAACCGTGTTATCAATGAATTGCTGTATGATATTATTCATTAATAAGTAATAACTTAAATTAATAGTATGAAATATTTCTATTCATTCATGTGATCCATTAATTTATTTCACAAAAATGTATACTTCGCTTATTACGCACAAGAAGAAAACCAGAATTAAATTTTAAAGTTTCAATTTTATTTTACGGTTTCTTGTTTTTGTTAAACCGACTATAGTTTATAAAAGATAATATTTATTTTTGTATCTAAACTTATTTATCAACTAAATTGTTATTACTAAAGCAAAACTAGTAATCTACTAAAATAATACATTGATATTTTAAACAATTATTATTAAAATCATGTAAGTCGTCAGTGAAATAAAAATATTTCCGTCACACGCTAAACAATACATTACGTATTATTTTACAGATAATCAATTTGTGTTTTCATATGAAAATCAAATATATATATTTTATAAATGGAAGAAATACCACAGTTGTTGGATAATTTAAAGTCAACTGTAGAATGTTTGTCTATGTCCAGTCAAACCAATACTTGGGAAGTTTGTGGCGGTCTGAACCGCCTACATTCAAATATTATGAATATATTTAAACATGGGTGTGTATCAATAGATACAAAAGTAAGTAATAATATTATTCGTAGGCATTGTGATATTTTTACCGATCTAAATTGTTTTTTATTTGGGTGACAATATTTTTTTGACCAATTTCCATACTCTAATTTTATAATACTTAAATAATATACCCTATTTAATACATTTTAGCATGTGTTTTAATGCTGCTATATTTGCTTAAAAAAATAATTTACTTTTTGTTCTAATATGCTGAAATGGGTAAACATTATAATATAAAATACAGTTTGCTTATATTATATTCGAATATTGCTGATTAAGGTAAATGTTTTTGTTATAGAATGATGATTGTATTTGGCAATTTATACAAGGATTAAACTGGTTGTACCCAATGTCTGAAACAACAAATTCATTCTTTAAGCATTCAGTCACAGGAAATGCTTTTTCAAATAAATCATCATTATGGATTTATAGGAGGTAATACTATTTATGAAATAATAATGTTTGATGTTAGCTATAATAACACCAGTGTTGTATTTGTTTTAGCATAATACCTAGTTAAGCATTTTTTTTTTGTAATGACAACTAGTACTTTTTATTTATTCCAAAAGTTGAATGAGGGATGGGTCGTCTTTTCTCTCATCAATTGCCATCAAATTAACACAAAAAGTATGATTAATTATTTTTAGCCTTGAAAATCATACATTATCAGAGAAGTTGGGTTGGCTGTTGTCTGACAAAAAACATTTGTACAAATTTTATAAGCATGAAGCATTTTTTTGTCAAAAACCTTATAGTGATGCTGCATTGTTGTGCCTTAAAGCGGTCGAGTTAAGTCAGCCATCATTATTATTAGAAATTGATCCAAAGTTGGTACGTTTGGAAAAATTATTTTAAGAATTTTATCCTAATGAAAATATTTTTTCAGTATTTAAATCGATCACAATCGACTGGTCATTGTACCACTTTACCAAAATCATCATTTAAAAAGAAACGACTGGAGTCATTAAAGAATTCTAAGAGAGAAAAAACAAATTTTCCCACTCCATTTAATGATTATAATAAAAATATTAATTTTAGTAATTTATCAGAAAATAATTATTTTAGTAATTTATCAGAAAACAATTATTTTTGTAGAAAATTTTTTTATAAAAGTTGTCCTAACCTTTCTAAAAGTTACAAACAGTCAAAAACTATTAAGCGATCGTACAGCTATGATAACATGGTTCGAGTACCAGAGTCACTATCGGATTTGTCCGATTCTGATTCATCAATTTACAGCTCGGAAGTGTTACAGTCAAAGCTATTGGATGTTAATTATGAACAGCTTGTTAATGAAAACGTTGAGTTTAATAAATATCAGTTGTCGAATGAAGGTATATTGTACAACTATAATAACTTGCCTAAACGAAAAAAGCGCAGAGCAAAGTTTACGTTACCTTTGAGAACATTAGACGAGTCTGATGATGACGATGATAAAAGTAAAAACTCTGATGGATCCCGAACGTTGATTCCGTATGATGAAATACCACCCAAGTATTTGGAATCTCCTGGATTACTTCCTCAATATTTTCCTGGTCAAGATCTGTTCAAGTTTTTATCATCTGGACAGTTTGTTCAGGCTAATGCTGAACTCAATCGAGAAAATGCACATTTTAATATTTCTGAAGTCATTATTGGAACTATTGAACAAGTTAGTATTCTATGTACATATATATTTTTTTATTATTAAGTTTATTTTGTAATAGTTTTTTATGTAACTATGTTTTTCTTGAAATTATGAACTAATGATAAGCAGAGATTTATAACCAATAAAAATTGAATACACCTATTTTACTAGACTTGTACATTAAAAATCCTATTTTAATTTAATCCTTGCTTAGCCAATTTTCATTTGCCAAAATTGCTCGGTATGAAGTTGTTTTTAATTAATTTTGCCAAATAATTCTCAAATATTATCCATTAATTAAAATAAAATATTGACCCTTATTATTTCAGTACAAGTATTTTACATAGTAATTATTTTAGAACGTATATAATATAATAAATACTATATTTTTACTGTATTTGTATTTGTTTTCAGATAAAATGCAATCAAAAACTCAATTTAAATAATGAAATTATTGATGAAAGTGATGAAGAAATAAAACGCCTAAAACAAAAAATTTGTTCACGGCGGAGGCAAAAACAATACGAACTTATAAAGTTGCCTGTGCTTACATCGACAATTGATTGTTGTAGTGAATGTATGACTTACATTATTTACCTAAAAAGTTTACACCTTACTTTAAGTATTAATTATTTGTAACTACTATAAAAGTACAGTTTTATTTACAATAACTCAAGAACACATTTATAGTTTTGATGCAGACCTGTAAAAGTTAGTTTTTCGTCTTTTTTTTTATTTACTACCAACGATAGTTTTTTAACAACTGGGTCAATTTCTTCATGTAGTCAATGTATAGATTAAAAACTGTTCATCAAAAGTACTTTATCAGGCCAAATTATTGTAAGGCCACTACTTCCATTTTACAATTGAGAAAAACTCCTTACAAACGTATACGTGTTTTAACATTTTAATACGGCAATAAAACTATCCTTCTGAAAAAAGTCAAATTTAAAATATTCTTTAAATAAACAGTAAAAAAAAAAAATGGTAAAATTTTTTTTTTGTTAAGTAGTTTTTAGACTTGAGTTTTGAAAATTTGACCGATAGTAGATATATTATTCTGTTCAGTGATAAAGAGAGAGAGTTCTTTTGTGAATAACTATCATGTTTAGTTACACTTCCCTAAGACACGTCCCAGTTGTACCTGGCTATGCTTTGTTATATAATTTTATTTTCTACTAATTGTTTTATAAAGACTATTTCAGACACATTTCTTGTGGATCAATTTTTTTAATAAAAATTTTCTGTTATTTAATTGTTCTATGCTTTTTCTAGCCACAACCACTGATTATACAATAAGTTCACTGACTTCATCGTATTGCTCAACCACGTCAAGCTTGTCTACTACTGATGATACAGACGATCTCGACATTGATAATGAAAGTGCAGACTGTTCTTCAAAAATTTCAGTGTGCAATTCTTCTGTGAGCTCATTGTATTCAAACATGGATTTAAGATCGCCGAGTATGTGCTCAGGGTTCACGGCAGAAAGTGTAGCTCGGTCGTTAATTCGTCAGTTTAATCATAAAAATACACCCACTGATTGTAATATTCAATGGCTTATATCAGAAAACGAAGTCGCGCAAAAAGTAAATTTAAATTAACTAGAAATGTATAATCTCGTTTAAACATGAATAATATACCTGTATACTTATTCATTCACATAGATATTACCTTTACCATCGAGTTGGCCTGTAAATCCTTATGAACCGGAAGATCTGAAAACATCTAGTTTACGAGGAACATCGTATTGGGCACCACCGCGACCACAAATTATATTTACCGCTCATCCACCTCCCATGTAAGGACACAATTATTATTGAATTTGTATATTTGCTCCACTATTTTCTAAAATGGCTTATGCATATAATTTATATTATATATTACAACTTGCAGTAGAAAACAGGTGATGGAACAACAGGGTTATCGATGCGCTGGATGCAGTATGAAAGTGGATGTCAAATACGCATCAAAGTTTCGATATTGTTTTTACCTAGGTCGATATTTTTGTACAGGGTGTCACATTGATAAAACTGCATTAATTCCCGGTCGAATCATATCTAAATGGGATTTTTCAAAGTATTTATTATGTTGTTTACATTATTTTTTTTTTTATACAATTAATTCTATATTTTAGGTATCCAGTATCATGTTTTTCGTTTACTCTACTCGAACAACTGTTGGTTGATCCATTATTTAATATAGCTGATTTAAACAGAGATCTATACAAACGTGCTCGTGGACTTAACAGAGTACGATCGTACAGACAACAGTTGTCCTATATTAGGGACTTCATATTTTTATGTAGATACGCTAATAAGTAAGCAAACTCTGCACTTCTTAATCTAATAAGCCTTATTTAAAACTATATTTTCGTGCAGACTAAGAGAACTCCTCAACGACTTGGAACCTCATTTAATACATGAACCAGATCTTTATTCAATACAAAATATGTTAGATGTTAAAAACGGAGATCTTAGCAAAAAGTTACAGAACATCATTATCACTTGTAACAAACATGTGATTAATTGTCAGGTTAGAACTTAGACAATTCGTTGTAAAGTTTATAAATTAAGGTGAACGGGATAAATGATACCTTGGTTCGATCATGGCTTAAATATTGTAGTTTATTAAAGCAATGGCTTTGTGATATTTTAAGAACAAATCAAATTTTTTTGACTTAATATTTTTACCACACTCTAATACTGCAAAAACTATTTTAATATAAATAATTATATTTTCATAATAATCATTGTGTGTAAACAAAAATGAACCTAATCTAACCAGGACTTAATTAAGATTGTTTCAATGTGAATTTTGTTTATTTCAGTTGTGCCAAGCAAGAGGTTTTGGATGTGAGATATGTAAAAAAGATGAAGTACTGTTTCCGTGGGACTTTAGAAAAGTAACCAAATGCGAAGATTGTGGGTCATGTTATCATTTAAAATGTTTTGCGTCTCGCAAAATACCCAAATGTCCCAGGTGTCCTCGGTTATTAGCCATGTTTAAACGAAAAGACTGCGAAAACAATAGTGAATCAGTACAGTCTTGACGATTGTTAATTATTATTATTTTTATTATCATTACCAAATTATTACTAACGTGTCCATATTTACTAGTTATTATAATTTGTATTAAAAAAAGAGATTTAATAATTTCATACTTTTTGTTTTCATATATTTAAGTTCAATTTTTATATTACCTGATTGTATTAATACCATTTATTTTATTTATTTTAAAATTTCTCACATTGAATTATGTTTAATTATATTCACCATATTATATTTATATTAAAGTGCATACAATAATTATAAAACGGACTTCCTTTGGGAAGGGGACTGGGAAGAAACAACATCCCCACATTATTTGTGTTTATTGTCACCATATATTTATTTTCCTTTAAATCTTATATCACACATTATCATTATATTATATATTGTTAATAAAAAATAGTGTTAATAATAATTGGCTTTCTGATTTTCAATAATGATAATTAATCTCTAGCTTAACTGTACGGAACAAAATTGTCAAATTAATTAAAAAATACAAAAACACCTATTAACAGTGACGAGTAACCAAGCAGCAGAAGATCCAAACGTACTACTTAGTACTTCCCCCTACCCCCAAAATAACTGCTGTTTTTTAAAAAATGTGGTTAAATTATTTGTTGAGTTTATAGTTGTTTAAATGAATAGGTTTATAGAAGAAAAAAACTAGATATACATTTTTTTTCTCGAAAAATTGAAGAGCTTTTGTAGTATTAAATATTTAAAAAAAAATAGTAAAACTGGGGGAGGGGGGGAAATGTCGAAAAAAAGTTGTACAATATTGAAGAAAAATACAATAAAAAACTAGTAGTTCCAGGAAGAAACTTTATTTTTATAAAATTGTTAAAACCTTTATTAGCCAATTGTATTTTTGTTTTTAGTCAAATTATATGTAGTTCAAATGATTTATTTTTGAAAACCGATAACTTCAGTTATTTATATTTTATACTTATTTAATTTTTTGTTTGTAACTCGAAGGAAAAGTTTATATTATAATACTTTCTTGTTTCCCTAAATTGATCTTCGAGTGTTTGCAATCGTTCACATAATTGATAAATAATAATATTATTATTTTAAATACTTAATTATCCACAAATGAGACATATTATACAACATAAAAGAGAATACTCCAAAAGGCTTAACAGTGAGTTTAAACGAATTAAAAATAATTGTTAATCAGACTAATCATTTTTCGATTTAAGAGTTGTTCTGAAATATTTATACCTAATTGAAATAATTATAATTTATAGTTTTTAGATTATTCTTAATTGTTGACATTTATTTTGTTCAATTAATGGGTACCTTATCATAACAGGTATGTTAATGTTGCTGGTTTTACGTTCGCCCGTATTGGAAGTAGTTAAAAGATGAATTTATGTCGTCTTGTAGACGTACCTTGTGGTGAGAAACGGTGAGTTAACCAATTTTGCCTTGACTCGAATACGGAATACCCATTACCCACATTACTATAACCTTGCAGACATTTTTATTGTTTGCTAATGAACTGATATTATTCCGTTAATAAGCCACTCAACAATATTATACTATTGCGCAGCTTATTATTATTGTAATTATTTTATACAATTACAAATCTCATGAGTCATTACAGAATAAAAAGTGTTTATAGTATACCGATTGTCGTCGTTTCTCTTATCAATATCGTTAACACGAATATTCTTATCTCGGATTAAAATTACAATTTATGCATTTACTATTTACTAAACAATAACGTTAACGTGCATAATATAACAATTTTTTTTTTGTGAAAATAAACGTTAAACTATAAGTCGTTTTTTTATTATTCCATATTGTGGCGTAGTACGTAGTGTTGAAACCAAAATTCTCTTTGAATTTTGTGCCTAAATTAGTAGTTTATAGTGTTAACATTTTGTAGATAAATTTTTGTAATTTAAAGCTATGCAAAACGTTATAAACAGTGTTAAGGGAACAGCCTTGGGAGTTGCAGAATACCTGACTCCTGTCTTAAAAGTAACAAAATTTGTTTCGATTTTCCACTAATAATACTGCTCTCAATTGAAATAAAATTCACCTATTCTATTTAGACATTTGTATTGACGTAGTGGTACTTTATCTAAAGATATTTCTATTCTTCTTGAGGTATATTATATTGTAGTTGTTTAAATGGTTCATTTCCTGTATAAGTTGAGTGGGTGTTTAGCAAGCTTAAAAGGCATAATGTATTCACCTTGTATGTTCAGGTAATGTGAAATTAAATATACTCAGAGTACGATTTCATTAAAAAAAAAAATAGGGCTGCTAATTTAGGTGGTACATGATTGCAAATGTTTTACCTTTTTCACAACACAATTACCATTGATTGTCGGAAGCTCAAAGAAAAACCATTTTATATCCAAAAATCAAACAATTGTGAACAATTTTTCGTGCAATGTTGTCAAATCGTATAACAATAATAGGTGCCACTTTTTTGGCCAAAATAAGCCAAAACTTTTATATTATATAAGTAGGATGATTTTTTTAAAGTGATTCATCCAACAATGCACAATGTAATCTAAATTTTTCACAAATCTTTATAGTTCTACCCCCTTCTAAATTAGTTATTTTTATATCCACTTTTGAAACTTAAATGGTAAAATATATATTTTATTCGTTTTTTATTTCTTGACAATTTAAAGTACTACCCTGTTAGGGAATTTTAAATATTTATAATTATACAAAATACATTTTAAAATAACAAAATTACATAATATTCAACTGATCACCATTCGTGATAAACATTAACCAAATGAAAGTTTATACTCATGACGTAAGAGTCGGTGTATTTTACCATATGATGACAACAAAATTATATCGAAAAATACTGTGTCAATATTGTCAAATATAGTGATTTTGTAGAAAATTATCAATACTTAAGATTTACTTTGGTTATAAATTATAATATTATGTAGTCATCGATAAGATCCATACAGCAATGTTTCATGAGAGATAGCAGGTAAAAACGTTTGCAATTGTGTTATTGAAAAAGGTACTGCCGATAACGATTGTTCGTAATTTTGTTGCACCTGGCTTAAGAACCGTTAATAATAAAAAGCCTCTTACATCATAAATTTCACCTTCTTACGACTTATATAATGCAAATTAAGTCAATTGTAAATATTTAAGTGAATTTAATTGTTGTCTGATTGACAGTATGTTTAATATCTGTTCAGATATTTTTTAACAATTTGATCAGATATATGCCAAAATGAAGACATTCCATATAAACTATAGCAAATGTTTAATTTATGAATGTATTTTGTGAAGAAATTTGCATTAATATTAATAGCAACAAAATATTTAGAAATTATTACATATTTCAAAAAAGCCTCCGTAAAATATTTAACACACATTAAAATTCAGATTTACGGCCTAGCTGGTAAGAAAAAGAGCTGGTTTTAACAAATTAGATTACTTAAAGGTTATTGCATATCATTATTATTACTTTGAATTATTTTTGAGGGTATTTGATAAAAAACAAAATTATGTTTAATCATATTAACATTTATTAACATCTTATGGCAATACAACCATATTTGTTTTAATTATCATTGTTACCTTACCCATTTCTAATTGTAGTTTGTTAAACATTTAGATACCTATTTTAGGTTTAATGCCATTGCAATGAATTTTTATTCAACTATTATAACCAGTAATAAAAAGTTTTAATATATTTCCTATTTAGGAATCAAAATTTAAAGAAACTGGTGTTGTGACGCCACAAGAATTTATTATAGCAGGTGATCACTTAGTTCATACTTGCCCGACGTGGGAATGGGCTAGTGGAGATGATTCAAAGACAAAATCGTATTTACCTAAAAGTAAACAATATCTGATAACAAGAAATGTACCATGTTTACGACGATGTAAGCAAGTAAGTAACCACTATTACTCTTTAAAATAAAAACATTCAACTACAATGATTATAAAGTTTTTCGATAATTAGATTGAAAATTGTGAAGTCCAAGAAAATATTGTTGAGGCAGAAGATGGAAATGAGGGCTGGGTTGAAACTGTTCACTTAGACTCTTCACTTTCTCCGACAAGTGAAAATGTATCTCATATCCCTCATATGGTAATTAAACAAATTATTAACTAGTTATTTTTGTTAAAAAAAATGTTTGAAAAAAACAACACAATGTTAGATTCTTAAATGCCATTCTTAATGCTAAAAATATATTGTCTTGAAAAGTATGTATTTAATTTTTTTAAAGCACATATTTTTATTTATTTATTTATTATACAATTTATGTCTCAAATAAGGGTATAATCATTATCAAAGCAATTAATTAAAAATAATACATCAAACATTTTATGTATTGTTTTAAAAAAATAGTACTTAAATAAATATATTTTCAGGAGAAAAAATTAAGTCAAAATCAAAGTAATCAAATTTCTGGACATTCGGAAAGTGAAAATATAAATATAGTCAACTTAAATAATACTTCTGATGATGATGATGAGGATGAAGGTGATGCTATCGATATGGATAAATTTGTAGAAAGTGGAATGTTGGAAGACGATTCGGTAATGGAACTTATGACTCCCATAATAATAAATTTATAAAACTTATTTATATATACATAATTAAAATATTATATATTACATTATAACTTATACATTTTTAAGGCTGTTATTTACCCTGCGAAAAGTGCTCAAAAATATGAATCGTGTTCACCTTCTGAAGAAATTCTAAAGACTCGTACATACGATTTGCACATTACTTATGATAAATTTTATCAAACACCAAGATTATGGCTTTATGGGTATAATGAAGTATGTACTGTATCACATAGTAATAATACTTAATTCAATAGCTTTGGCTTGTTTCGGATAAGGCAATGTGTGGTGATTTTTTTCCGATATCTGGAATGTTACCTCAGTAACTCAAATTATTATGTCTAGGTACGTGACTGATGTCACCAACTATATACTTATTTCTTTTATATCTCAATTGAATTGGCTAGTTTTGTTGAGGCTCAAAAAATTGTTCATTGATACTTAAACACTTAATTTACACACCTTAACTTATAGAAGAGTTTTAATGAAAAGATCATTTTTAACCATGCTAATTGTTTGATATCCGGTAAAGGTGGAGAATGAAGTGCAAAAAAATAGTACGCGCAAATAAATATCACTACTCGCCCGCACTTAATTTATCATTCTTAAATACATTATACCTTGTATATTAAAAATAAATGCTTAGAACTCGAAAAGTATTTTTCCAAAATTGGTTATCGACTGCAGTCATTATTTTTAGCTGATAACTTTTTTAATAATTATTTTTATAACATTTACATCTTTTTTTTCTTTGCCTTACATCGGATTTTAAGGTTCTTCGCTGGTTCCACTATGGTCTTTTACACGCTGCTCTGTATTGAATATCAACAGCCATGCACATATCCAAACAGATTAAATCGGGTTTTTTATTCATTAATTATTACATCAATTTATTTTCAGAATCGAATGCCATTAAGCGTTGAAGAGATGTATGAAGACGTAAGTCAAGATTATGCTAAAAAAACTGTGACGATGGAATCTCATCCTCATATTCCTGGTCCACCAATGGCTTCTATACACCCTTGCAAGTATGTGTACATACTAAAAAGTTAAAATTCAAGATTGTTTTGTTTTATTATACTATCGTGTCTTTACTTAACTGTCATTCTTTTAGTTTTCATGCTCGGCAGTTCTATGTAATAGCTATGTTGATTTTGTTTTTACAGACATGCAGAGATAATGAAAAAGCTAATCCAGACTGTGACGGAAGGCGGTAGAGATTTAGGTGTTCATTTGTACTTGATTATCTTTTTGAAATTTGTGCAATCAGTCATACCAACCATAGATTACGACTACACACAAAATATTAACTTATAATTAATAGATTGAGAAATAAATAAATTGGTACAAAAAAATTAGCCACTGCTTTTTAGTATGTATGTTTAAAGGTAAATTGTTCATGAATTAGGTACCTATACACGACTCATACTGTTCAATCATTTTCATGTGTAACTAATATAACAATAAAATATGTAAATTTAAAAGTAAAATTTCTTCTTGGAATATTTTAATTTACCGAATAAACCAAGTATGAATCTTAAATAATTGAATTTTTTGCATTCAGATTTTATTTGAAAATCAGTTAACCAGTAAAAAATATATTTAAAGTTGTGCACTGTGGTGTTAACTAGAAAAATATGTTTTGTTTTTTCCTTTAATTATTTATAAATCTTTAATTTTTAATAAATCTATACTTGGTAGTAATCAAAAGTTGCCAGTTTGGTTCTAGTTTTTACTTAGGAGGACGTTACCCGCCCATTTATTAGGGTGTAAATGTAGAGCATTTTTGAAAAAATCTTAAACTAAAATAAAGTAGTGTATATTTATTAATTCAATAATGACAATTCCTTATTGTTTTTTATTTTATTTTTATTTAGCCTATCACAGTCATTTCTTTAGAAAAAAATTTAAATATTTTGCATCAAAATAGTTTTGTGCGTACCAAATCCAAAATGTTTGCCAACTTGTAAAATCACAAACTTTTCACAATAAATAGTAGAATTTAAATGTACATAATACCAATTCAAAAATAAAAAAAATTTTATTTTTAACAAATTAATGATTGAATCTGTATTGCTTAACACCAGTTGATTATTGTGACAATGATTATACATTTTATAATCAATGTTTTCGGGCATCAAAGTTCTTTATAATCGACAAACATCCTATATTCCTATGTATGCCTAACATTTTACAACCTTTTTTTTTTTTAATAAAAACCAAAATCATTTTCTAATATTATATCCCTAAATCCTAATCTGGTCACAGGTTTTTTCTAGTAGACCAATTTTGTTTTTTCAATCGCCTCTATTGTTGCTAAGAACTTAGAATAAGAAAAATCCAAGTCTTCCAGTTTTTATTTTTTTGTCGGAATTAATTACAAATTCTACATCAATCATGCTAAAACAGATATCGGATCTAATACGAATTCAGCAACAAAACAAATTATGTATTTCGATTCATTCGGATTAATTGTTCAGAATACAGCAGTATAATTTTTATCTAAAAACAGTAAAAACGCACACAATTGGTAATGTTACACATTATTTATTACGTTTAAGAAAAACACATAAATAATTAACAACTTTTAAATTATTAGGTATAACTTAAATGTCTAACGCAACACCGTAAAAATAATAAAAATAATTTTGTGAGAAATACATACATTGGGATTAAATTCAAATTAATTGAAGGTCCCAAATTGGTAGTTATGCTAATTCGACACTTAACAGTTGTGTCTATGATTGTTTTAAAAATTTCCTCTTTATATAATTTGAATTATTCTAACCCGTGTTTAAATTACTATCGATTATTAATGAAAAACCAAAGATCACATCAGAAAATTAGAACCTCGTATAGATTACAATTATTACCTAATGGTAACGTTATTAGGATAGAAGTAAATTAGAAGTCGAATATTACAAAAATTAATTTTTTATTGAGTTTCAATAATAATAAAATATACAATAACTATGTATAGCTGACGTAATGGGTGAATACAATTAAGCTGGAAATTCGTATAGAACAGTTTTTAGTTTTAACGTTTAAACGGATGTGAATGAAATAACAATATCGTTTTTCAACAATTAATAATTAGAATAAATATTAACATCTGTCTGTGAGTATAAACAGACATAATGGGAATAATGTAGGGTCAATGCAATATGGTTTAATTTGTTTTGTTTTAATTTTTATACTTGTATATTTATTATTGTTCTTCCACTCACCGATTCATTAATTTGCACGATACAGTATTACACACGGACAACTGTTTTCAACGATAATTTTTCAATACACAATCGGTGCGCATAAGTACATAAATGTATAAAAACAAAAGCTATATCTGTGTAATAAATTATCAATGACTAATTGGTAATTTTAATATTATATTCATTCCTAAAAACATTGTGTCTTAATAGTAGGTATATGTTGTTGGGTCTTGAAATTTGAATCATAGTTTCAGTACTGATGACTTATGATGGGAGCAAAATCGCCGGCATTCCACTGATTGTACGGCGGCTGATATCCGTAATAGGTCGGCGGGGGCAAGTATTGTGTACAGGGCACGGTGTACAACTTAGTCTCGTATTCGGGTCCGTATTCGAGTATGGCTTGTAAGTGTCTTATGTACCGGATGGCCATCCTGTTATAAAAGATACAGCGGTATGAGCTACATTTTATTGCGTTAATTAATAGGGTTTCTTGTAGTGTAAATATTTAGGGTACCGACTACTGAGATCCAGTGAAATCGAAAATGTATTTGCCTACCTACCGGTTTCTCAAATAATTATTCTGCTTTTGGGTCCGAAAAAAAAATAAGATTTTACAGAAGACACAAACAACTGTTTAAAATGAATTCGTGTAATACCTAACATCCTGTACAGTTCATACAAATTCTCTAATACCTTTCTACAAGGGCGCCCGGAGGTAAACATTCAGGGAGAGGGGTGCCTATGATTTTATAATAGATATTAAGGAGGATTTTGCAAATTTGGAATACAAGATTTAATTTTCTTGCAGAGAAGCTAGGGAAAGGAGTTGCCCCACCCCTGCCCCTCCCTGTGGGCTCCCTTGCCTTTCTACAAAGAAATGGGTAGGTAGTTCAATTCCTTAGTCCCCCTGTTTTAGTTTTTACTTTTCTTTTTAGGAGAACACTGGTTCGAGAAGCTTGACATAGTTCATATTTAGGGATTAAAATATATCATTTTAACATTTTTGAAAATTTCATACTTACTAAGTGTGTATAAATTAAACATTTTTAACATTACTATTAGTGGAAATGCATATATTTAAAGCATCTTAAACCAGTTTTCTCCTTAAAAGAAGAGAGTTCACATTCAAATTTTTACAGGCCTTATACATTTAGAGTAGATTTGAGGGATGACTGTATTCAAATATGACCAGACTCAAAACGAGGACTTCTTTGCTTAGAACCCTACCCACCAGTAAGGAGAAAATTAATTTTGATACCATGGAATTGAAAAAAAAACGGTAGATCAATTTTCGATTCCATTAGACCTCGGGATCGGGGAATCTACTGAACTCTGAATAGGGTATCTAAAAAATGTACGTTAAGTTGTAAGAAATAATATTAAGATATTGATAATATAAGATATTGTTGGTTATTATAATAACTGTCAAACCTCAACGATTCGATTTTAGACAGCTTCTTGCCGGGTGGTTTACTTTTGGGCAGCCTATTCCTTAGTAAATCAAACGCTTTGTTCATGTCGCGCATCCTCGTCCGTTCCCTGTCACACGCCGATTTCTTGTAATCTGAAAATGATAAAATTATATAATTAATTTGCTAAGTTTACAATAAATAATATTATACAGTTTAGTTGCTAGTCCTTATGTGTAACTAAAACAAAAGTAATACAATATAGTTTTTTTTAACTGTACTATTATACTCTAGATAATATAATAATATTTTTAAACGGTCGATGTAGGTACTTAAAAATAAACGAATATCTAGATTCTGAAATTTGTAATGAATAATTCATAGAAATGATAGCGATACAAGTTTAGCGGTTCGTTGAAATCGAATTTTGGTTATTAAATTGGTGTTTATAAAACAAATTTACATATGCCTCATAGATTTAGGAGTAGGTACCCTAATGGACAATTACAATTGGCATTACATACTCATGACCTTGTTACTAAATACTAACACATCAATAAACGAGTTTCACCTCCCTACGCTCATCAGACAACACAGTAGGTACAATAATATTGTACCTACCTGTTGAAATTTTTTAATAACTACGTATTATGTAGTTATTAAATCGGTATAACAACATAGAAAACAAAAAAAAAATGATTAAAACAATTCATCATAAGTAAATTGTAAGAAAAAACGTAAACAACCATATTACATAAATTTGTTTTATGTTATTATAACTTGTATTTTCTTGTGTGGAAAAATTATTCGTCCTTAGTTTAGTGTTTATCGAAAAGTAGGTACTAAAAAATATCTAACCTCAATATTTTATACCTATTTATTTATAAATAGTAAACAAACCATTGTGTGTTTGTTATGCACAACTCTACTGAAATTTCAGTATAACAAATATTATTAAAAAAACTAAATCTTTTATATTATATTAATGTTTCTTTTAAAAGTGAATATTTTGTTGAAAAAGTAAAATGATGAGGTTTTTGCTTGCCTTCACGATTATTATTATAATTATGTAGCGTTATAGATTCTACCTATCTATGGATTTTTAGTCTAAATAGCTTTTTAATTAGATACAAATATATAAGAAATATTCAAACGTGACAATTTTATAAAATTATAATTTGATTTTCCATGGCTAAAAATATGTTATTATCATCAATAAAACTTGGTTATCGCTTCATAAGCTAAGATTATATTTATAACACTCATGTTCTTTAATATTTCAAAAAAAAAATATTCTCAGTAGTCTTAACTACACATTTTAGCTGTAGTCCCTAAATAGGTTGGTCTTCGGTTATTTAATGCTTGGAAATTATACCTGCTTAGCAGAAAAAAAAGTTATAAAGATAATTACCGATATATTCTTAGTTTCATTATGTACCTACAATTATCAGACAACGCAGAATTACCTATAAATACAACAAGTATCCTTATGATAGGTGGAATGTTGTTGGAATATTTGTACACTTTTAAATGTTCAAGATTACCTTCAATATATATATATATATATATATATATATGAGCAATAAACTGTACAGTACGCTGCTAATTTTTTTGTTGGCTTTTCTCTATTATGGAATGTCACTGATAAGTTTATTAACTATTCTAACAACTATAAATGAACGTATAAAAAAATATATAATTTAATTAAATAAACCTAAAATTATTACTTGCCTTGGTTTTCGTTTAACCGGCTCGGTAATAAATAGGTATCAAATAACAAAATATTAATAATCAACGAATATACCATAGTCCATAACAATTTATGCAATTAGTTCGATCGCTTTGTTTAAGCTTATGGTTTTTAGACATCAAAATGGCCGAATACTTTTCCATACTATTTTAATTTTTTCACAATTTGCCTAGAATTTTTCCAGGAATGACCCTAAAGTCTGCCAGTAAAATAGAGTGCGTTAAAAGTAAAGTGGTCTAAGTCATTAAAATATTACCTACTTAAAAAAAATTGCATAATTACTTTACTAAAAAGACTTTTTGAAAATCTAAGATTCTTCGTAAAAGTGAATTAATTGTTTTTAACTACCTATTAGTGATGGGAATGTCTAATTTTTGTCTTGTCGATAAATGCTTTGGAATAAATACTCTTATAGTTATAAGCGTTCAAAGTGTACTTGGAGGGGCGATAGGCACAGCGAACTTTTATTTTTATTTTTGCGCATTACCACACTGATTCTTCTGGTTAAATGTTAAAATAAATGTTGATTAATTTTTAATTTACATGGAGCGTATAACTTACACCTCTTCACTTTTAATGGGTTCAATATTAATATGTTACTTTAATTTGTGTTGTTTATAGACGGTATCAAACGGTTTAACGTCCCCCTTTTCTCTTTGGTCGTTAATATAGCAATAGTAGGTGTATTAGGTATCTCCTCTGAACCTTTGTAGTAATGCATTTTAAGGGGTTGTTTATATGGGTAAACTTTGTGTGCCTGTCGCGTGTTCCTCTAGTCAGCTGGTTATGTGTAGCAATAAAATAACCTATAATACTACTGACTACTCTTGTATAAGAAGCGATATTACACCTTTTTCGGATTCGTACGAACGTACTCTGGTACGACCTTCGGACACCACGTAGTTGATAGTTGAAGTCTGTGGGGGTGGTGGTGGCGGCGGCGGTAGCGTGTACTGTTGTTGGTGCTGTTCGCCGGAGCTGTGGTACACTATTGTAGTCGGGTGTATGCCGGTTGTGTCTATTATCTGTTGCTGATGATGATGATGGTTGGCCTGTGAAAACTCGTAGGTGATAACTGGCAGCACCACGTTGTTCAGGTTGCAAACGGTCGTCGAGTCAATCGACCTGACTGTGGATTCTTGCTCGCAATGCGACGGTTCGTTCAGCGGTTTGTCCATGGCCATGAACTCCGCGACATTTTCCTGCTGCCATAGGGGATAAATAACAGTAATTATTAGTCCACTAGTCTCAAGACGTGTAGGTACGGCTCAGGAAAATACAATATCTCGTTTAGATTGTATTTGAGTGTACACGAGACCAACGGCTACTAGATTGTGTCTATAAAAGATTTGTTTACCCCTTTCCACCCCCATCCAATTCATAATAACCTATTCAAGTAAGAAATCTCCAAAATTTCAAATCCCTAGCTTAAATTTAAGTACTTTCTCGTGCATTATTTTTTTTTGTACATTTGATTAACACGGGAAGCTTTAATTTTACATTATAACAATTTTAACTTAAAAACAATTCGTATAATAAAGATTCTTTAAGCTGAAATACAACACTTCAAAATCACTCTGTTGATATTCACGGTAAAAATTGTTTTTATCATGTTACAGTCCATTGGAACTGATATAACTGATAACTCGTTAATGCAAATGAATCGCGGAATATCAAAAGAAATATTTTCAAGTTTCATGTTCAAGAATCTTTTTTTAAATCGAAAAAATTTGAATCAATTTTCAAACTAAGAATTTGTTAAATAAAAAATTAGAATGTTCTATGTTAATCAAATACAAAAAAAAAAACAAAATGCAAGAGTACTTAGAGTTAAGCTAGGGATATGAAATTATAGGGATGTTTTTTTAAATAAGCTACTAACAATTAAAAATGTAATCTGTAGGAAAAACTAAAAGTGAAAAAAAAACAGTCTAGTATCTACTGCCTACTGACTTATACTTTAAGATTTAGGTTTAGTCAACGTGTAAAGGAACAATTTAAAATATATCAAGGGAAAGGGCGTAGCCAGTAGGGAACAGAAGCCATATTTACGATTTAGTCTTAGGCCTCGAAAGGCTTTAGGATATTCGTATGATATAAGTCATCATTCATCGGTGATTTATTGTTTATATTGTTAAAACTTACAATTATACTTATAATTCCTAGGAAATAGTTGTGTTTTAATATACTTTTTAATTAGCAAGTATAAAACAATAGCTTAATTAAAAAAAAGAAATTTGGCAAATTACCCGTTGAATCATCATATTTAAAGGTAATATTTATATGATAATAAATATTCATTAAATAATGTATTTTGAATTTCGAAAACCAGAACAAATAAGCGCTCTAGATTTATCTTGACAAATAGTCACTCCCAAGAGAACAAAAGAAACCAAAAACCGAAATTGGGATGTTTATTTATTTTAGTTTGACGTCCAGACAAAAATCAAATGTAGGTGTTGGAAAATATATAAGCTGGCCTCTTAAACTCTTTCTTATTACGCTTTTGCATAAGCTAAGATAAAGCTTGTTTATTTAATACAACTAAATTATTAATGATCTATCTTTTTTTTTCTTAAATGGAATAAAACATCTTAACACGGATGTTAACATTTTTTAGGTCAAATTCAATAAGTAAAATAAAATGGAAGCTCAACAAATATTGTTTTTTTTCTGGGTCTTTTCACCTTGTTTATGTTTGATTGACACATAATAGAAAAACTATAGGAAGTACGTGTAAATTTTCTTAAAACGTAAAGAGAAGTAGATTTCAGTAGTGAATTTAAACATAATCGATTCTAAATAGATCCCGATAGATAATTGAATAGATCGACAAAAACCAATAAATGAGTCAATTGCAAATTTTATAGAAATAAATAAATGATGAATTAATAGTATAAAGTAGATAATAGTTCGTAGTATAAAGATATATTATTTAATTATTTATAAAAATCCATTTTGGTCATTTCAAAGCGTATTGGGTTCACTATAAGACACTTTCAGACTACTATTACACTCGACTTACGTTTAATATAATATAACTGAATTATTTGTTTATGATAAAACCAGAGATGCCATATCATTAGAGTCTTCGGGCAATGACGTGTCAAGTGTGAAAAATTAAATAGATATTCTAGTTGAAACAACATAAAAAAAAATAACCATTGAATAAAATTAGTATTACTTGAACGACTGGCTTTTCGTTATCGTTTCCTGTGGCCGTTTCTTCGTTCATATCGTCCCGGCTGTATTATTTAGTATTGCAAGTCAATGTAAATAACACCAACAAACTTAAACTCGGCCGCCTGTTTGCCGGTTTCAACAGTCCAACATTCGACAGATCTCTATCTTGGCGCTTATCGGATGCGCATCCTAAAGACTAAATACTTAGATAGGGATAGGTAACCGAAACACAGCACTAGTGCGAGGGCCGCCGAACACTAGCTGCTACCGGGTGCAATAATTATTATCACTGAACGTTTCACATAGACGTTAAAAAAAAAATGAATACATGTATCATTTGTATTATAATTATACGAATCAACACTTGTACAAATAATTTTTTTTCGAAAAATATATCATTTCCCTCCGCCACCCCTCGGCTTTTCCACGGCACGCGCGCCAACGACCGTGAAGCGCAACAACTGTGCTAACACGTGTCGCCTTATTGTCACCTAAGTATTCGTTATTGTCTCATCATAGCGTATAGGTACGACTAGTTCTTGTTTTTTTTATTTTTTCACCACATCGAACAAAACGAATAATAAATAGTAGGTATATAATAACAATAATTAAACGGCCCATAGTGTGTACCCATAGTGGCGTAACGTTGCTACCATAACTGCCATGATGAATAGGTATAGGTAACAGTGTGATATTGTAGTGCCGAAACTGTTATATAAAACACACACGGACGGTTTCATACTCTTAAATGTCTCTCTATACGTGTGTAATTATAATAAACATAATTTTTCCGTCTTACTCTGACAAAAAAATGTACATATCACACATGTTTTAAACCAAGCAGCGTCTACGTCAACAGGGTTAATGCATAATTCAATCGGTGAAAATTCCTGTTTTAAGTTGTATCTATATTTAAAATTGAACAATAGATACGAATTTAATATTGAAAGGGATAAAAGTTCATACTTGCTTATGTGCATAATCTAATATGTTGTGTTAAGTCAAATCAGTTTTTTTTTTTTTTAAAAAGGCCTACAACATTTTTTTAAATATTTATCTGTATTTTAATTACAAAAACTGCAAGTGTGTCAAATACCAAAAACTGACCAATAGGTTTTTACAACATCTTGAGGGCTTTTCACAAAAACACATTACTTGTGTCGATAGTTAATTTTTTATGAGTTTATAAGAGTTGGATCTTTTAAAAATTATTTTTTAATTTTAACCATTGTATCATAGTGTCCATTTTATAACAGCCCAATTATTTTATTAATACATCGTAGATACAAATAAGATAATCTTAGGTTTAAAATTGCGACTAACAAAAAATATTTTTTTGGCTTTTATGAAACAGTGAAATAAATAGAAAAAGTCTCATCGATTTTACAATTTACCAACTGGCTGGTAAAAATAAGTGTTTAATAATTTATTTTTAATTAACCTAAAGTTTGACATTCTTAGAAATCAATATTATAATTTCCCATATTTTATTCCTACGTTATAAAGATAATATGGTAATGTGTTGTTATAAAAGGTAACATAAAAAATGTACAAACTCATTAAATTCCTGGTAAACAAATAGTTGTAAATAGTACATATTAATATACTAAAAATAGAACATAATTGAGTTTTAATAGCTACCTTAAATAACGGATTATATCTTATCTAGGCAGAAAATGTTAGAGTTGAACTGTATGTACATTTATTGGCTTATAAATTATTTTTTCAATCTTGCAAATCAACAAATAAACTGGTTTTAAAAAAAATATAATTTGTTTCAAATTGGATACGTATTTATAAAATTATCTACCACGCATTTGTCGTTGTTTACTGCTTACAATTATTATTAGTCATGATTTTACTCATGTGGATAAAAACAAATCTTGTAATCGCACCGTGTAATTCTAAATTATAGGCAACCACATGGACATACTAATAAATTTAATGCCTGCTCTGTATGTCAAAGCTATTTTTCTTAGTTAAATGGTTTTAAAAACTATGAAACGACAGCAACGGGGGAAATTTTTTCCAAAGCACTGACAACAAGAGTTTTTTAATCCAATTGGAATGGACAATATCGAAATAGGAGAGAGTTGAAATGTATTATATTATTAATATTATGATATATATATTTATATATGTAATATACTCTAAACTTATTAATTTTGAGTTATTTTTCCATTTCCGTGTTTCTTATTAACATTTTAAACATGTAGTTGTTTTTGTGTATATTCAGTCATTTCACTTATAATAGATGCATTTATTCTAGACCTAAAAATATATTATACCTTTGCTAATGTATTATGCTGATATGACTAATAAACTTAATAACCTTTAAAAACGATTTTAATAGGACTACAGTATTTTAATTATTATTAATAATTAATAGACACATTTAACAAACAATAAATTGTTGGTTGAAACTTCGTCTTGCTAGTAAAATACATTTTCGATTACTTAATATACTTTTAATTTAAATAATCATTAGCTGTCAATGATTATTTACAAATAGCAGGTCTTAATTATTCTATCATACACTGGTTCGTTTTTTTTATTTGTATCGATATATAATGTATATAATGTACTATATATATTATATATATATATATATAGTACTTTATAATAATAATCCGAAATTTTGTAAATCAGTTATTAGTATTTACTTATGCTATTTAAAAATTGTTTAATAATACCTACTTATAATAGTGACTCCAGTCATCTTACGAAAAACAAATTAAAATCATACCAGACTAATGTGTCCATTGTCGACGGTGATAATTAAAAAATCATCATCTAGGTAATTTAAATAGACCTATCTATAATTAGATTTATACTACTAGACAATATATTGTAATAATATAATAATAATTACATATTAATAGTCTTAAGAGATATTTAGCAGCTTTGTCATTTCTTATAAAACATTAATCATTTTATACCAACAGACAATTTTCATAGACGTTCGGACTTGTGTTAAACTATTGTACTATAACAGATTTTAGTTATGTCTTATGTCAGATTGTTTTACGGGCTACTGGACATTCATTTGGGTGCAATACTTTGATTTAAATATATTATTATATTAACTATGGCCTAAACAGTCTATACCGATTAATATAATATTTAACAAAAATTAATTTATTAATGTAATTAATTAATTAAATTATATTATACGGTTTTAATGTTCAACACTTTTTTAATTCTGTTAGTCAACAACAAATTTCAATTCGAAAATTGAAAAAATAAAATTTTTATTCACTGAATACAAATTACAATAATATGAGTCGTTTCCAGTTGGGCTCATCTCAACCGCTGCCATCTTATGATATAATAAGTTGAATAAAACGTCATTGAGGTTTTCGAGAAGGTTCTATGGCAAAAGAGGGAGTAGGTATGATGATGCTAGTTTGAAATAGATTTAAACAAAAAAATGGTGTATTACAAGTCATAAAAAGTAAAAACCCATTTTGTCTGTTTGTGGGTATACGAATAATTTGTTGACGAGTCACGAGTAACGGGTTCAATTATTTATAATAGTTTAAAGTGTTAAGTGGATGATCGAAATGCTAATGATACCGTTGACGCGGAAATTTAAAACTAAATATTATTATCGAGCCATGTTCGACCACGATGATAATTGTGTACATGGGTGCCGGAAGCGGTTTATATTACAATACAATAATTGTAATAATAGTGTAGAAAAATATTTATGTTTTTGTTTTTAAAGTTTTATCGAAAAGCCCACACGTGCAATGCGCAAATGCTTTAGGTTATAGGAGATCCTTCTAGATCTCGGTCCGGTCACGTTTTTATTATCATATGAATTTAATTAGGTAATACGTAGGTATATTATCGTATGACCAAGCCGGAGGCACTGATTGAGGCGCTGCACTGTATTATAATTTTTTTTTTTTGGTTGAAAGCGCCAAGGTCGTTTTATTTATAACAATAATAATTTTTTAAACGTCTTATTGTTCGTACTAATAAAATGCAAAACTATGTAGCGTTATTGGTTTGTTTGTTACAGTTTTTTAAATGCAATTTTCTGGATAGCATTAATCGATTTTGTGCAAATGTAAATAAGTACAAGCTTGTGAATGAGAAAACACCAGCAGATTGGCACAAATAAACCGTACATGATTAGTTTTAATAGCATTATACAGGTCAACGGCCACCGTTGGAAAATTAGGTCAGACCAAGTTTGCCGATCGGCCGAGGGCTTATCGCAGACGTCAAGTGTAATGTCTAAACATTGCGGGTGATGTCTAGATAAGTAAACACACACACTCACATCATTAGATTAAAAATTAAACCCTTTCCAAAATTGATGTATTCCATTTTAGCTAAAAGTCCTATATTGTATCATCTACGTATAACAATAATTCATCAGTCATCAAAATTTGTTTTAAATTAAAAAAAATATATAATTTTCTGATCGGCTTTATAAAATATTCATTTTAAAATCGCACAAAAATTAATTCCAAAAAGACAAAATTGTCTATTTCAATGCAAAGCAAATACAAAATTTCACATAGTGTATTTACAGTTGAAACTAAAAAAATAGAAGAAAATATGTACATTTTAGGCTTCAGCAAATTTAAAATTCTAATAATTTAACGCCCAAAAGAGCAAAGCGCACAAATTATTATAATTATTTTATGGAGAGAGAGAGGTAGAGTTAAGTCTGCAGTTTTGGTGACAAGTAGGAAGAAAGAAGGTAGGAGGAAAATGCAAGGAAATAGTAGAGGCGTTAAATTCCATAGTAATGTATAATTCCGGGTAGCTAAAATGGTTATTTGTGAAAGAGTAAAACATATTCATAACTTTCCAACAGTCAGAAAGTCTATTTAATTTGAATTTAAGTATTAAAGTCGGTTTTCAAGTCGATATCAATTTTTCCAGATTTAAAAAACGCGTACGAAGGCTTTTAGTTTGATCAATTTAACTCAACTGATAAGGTAATAAAACTACAATCTCAATTCCAATATTCAACTGTTAAACGAATAAGATATATGTACAAGACACACAAATTCGCTGATAGAAGCCAAAACAGGTTAGACGTAATTGTTAATATTTTGATTAGCGTGTTTCATGAATGATAAGACGGATAAAATATTAATACCGAGGGTCTAAATATGACTAACTTCCCTTGACTCAACTTCAAAAATATCAAAAGACTTGTAACGAGTAAACGAAATTTGGGAGCAATTATGTTATTGTTTTACACGCCATTTGTTTCACATCACATTCAGAATTTTTCCAAGCTATATTTTAGTTAAGAGGA